GAGTTGTTGGCAGTGGAACTTACTGTTGGAATATTATAGATTGATTACTTTATATTAAGGAGACTGGGTAAAGCCAAGAGGACAGATTGGTATCTAAAAAGCACTGATGGAATTTTCCTCTAGAATGCTGCTAGGAAAGAGCTCTACCATCACAAGGAAGGCTTCATGCCTCCTTGGCACGGGGACATGGGAAGGACATGGGGAGGTCTGAACAAAGGACTCTTGCCAGGAGATAAGAGGATCCATCTTTTATGCCCATCAAAGGAGGAACTTGCAACATAGCCACTCTGAGTCAGGACAGTGGAACACCCAGGGCCAGTGGGCAGGCCTGCTGGGTAGAAGATATGTCTATATTAAATGACTGACATTGGGTGGAGCAAGAGGCTGCCCTCTGATTGGTGAGTTAGACACAGTCCTGGGAAGGAGGCCAAATTAGACTTGGGTTGGCATCAGTCCCACATGTCAGATCCATCTATCTTTGGTCTCTCAAGTTAAACCCAAAGCAACATCCATCACGTGCCCATTCTTCCCTGTGGTCTCCCATGTAATCCAGGAAGACTTCTCTTCCCTGCAAAACTCACTCTGGTGGACTAGAAAAGTTTGGTGCTTTGACACAGGGTAAATATTTTATCTTGCCTTTTAAGGCATGTGTTCCTGGGTCACTGTTCAAACATCCACGTCCTCTGCAGAGTCACATGGCTTTGTCTCTGGAGGACACAGATTCTGTTCGCTTGGCTGGAAGGCACCTCACTCAGCACAATTACTTATTAAAAGGCATTTGATTATAAGTAACCATGTTGAAAGGAAATTTCTCCAGACAAGAGCCTCATCTGTTGATGAGGTTGTATCCAGTTTTGTTTTTCATTTTCTCAAGCTCTTTTCAGATACAGGTTGTAAAAGAGATACCCTCCGTTAAGAGATAATTGATATTGAGAAGGCTCTCAGACCATCCTCCTCACAAGTAGCCTGAATGGTTAAGAGCACAGGTTCCGGAGCCTGCATTTCATCTCCAATCCTTTGCTAGCTGTGCAACACTGGGCAAGTTACAGAACTCCTCTGAAAAACTTCACTTCATCTGCAGAATGGAGCTATCTTATAGGGATCTTTTGAGAATTAAGTAAAACAATGCAGGTAAAGCATTTATCACATTGCTTAACATGTAGTTTATGCTCACATATCATCCTTAACAGATGAATTTTAAAATTTGGAATTCACTTGCTGACTTGCATTATCTTTCCAAGGGGAAATTGACTAGCATGCCCACCCAAATGATAAACTCTGAAAGGCAAAAATGCATTTAATATAATTTTTTAATTTATTGATATGAGAGAGACATCAATTTGTTGTTCCACCCATCCATGCTTTCATTGGTTGATTCTTGTATGTGCCCTGACCAGGGGTCGAACTTGCAACCTTGGAGTGTCGGGATGATGCTCTACCAGCTGAGCTACCTGGCCAGGGTGCATTTAATATAATTTTTAATCACTATAGAGACATTAACATTTTTGCTGAGCCCTGGCTGGTGTGGCTCAGTTGGTTGGGCATCATCCCATTCACCCAAGGGTGGCTGCTTTGATTCCAGGTTAGGGTACATGCCCGGGTTCAGTCTCTATCCCTGGTAGGGAGCATGCAGGAGGCAGTAGATCAATGTTTCACTCTCTCCCTCTCCCTTCCTCCCTCTCTAAAAATCAGCTTAGAAAAAATTTTTTCCTGAGTTATAAACCAATCAGTGATTTGCAAACATTTTTAGACCATATCCTCAAAACAATAAATTCCATAGAATGGTAAATTTATAATTTCTGTTCATCTCTGTAAAGAAATCACTACAATTAAATATATTCTAAGAAAATAATTCAGAAGAAGAAATATACATATACCTATACATATTCTATTTATAGCAACATTACACAATAGGTAAAAATGAAATAAAAACATACAATTAAAGGGGAATAGCTAAATTAGTATGACACAAAGTAATTGGAACTTTTGCAGTCATTGAAACTAATGATGATTAAACATAAGGAAAATACTTACAAAATAAGCGAAACAAATAGAAATATAAAACCACACATACAATTACAACTCTATAGAAACGAAGCATGTGTTCATCTATGTAACTTTTACCTTCTATACGTTGCAATTTTGAGCTTTTATAAGCATGCACATGTGTTAATTGGGTAATTAAAAACTAATGCATGTTCATAAATATTAGATGAGAATACAAAGAAAGGAAAAATGTGTTAAAGATTATTAACTAATTTTTAGTACAAGCACTAACCATACTGAACATCTGTGGTTCTTGGTGACACACTGATTTTGACTAAAACTCCCTCTTCTCCTTAATTAGCAGGCCAATGCCTGCTCCACAATAGATGAGATGTCACCTCTCTTGACCCCAACCTCTTGTTTGTCCTGTGTTCCCAGAGCATTCTGTGTCTACCCTTATCATAGCACTCATCTCAGTCCATGGTTGTTATTTATTTACTACTCCATTCCAGCCAGGGAGCCCCTGGAGGGCAGGGTCCTGTCCTTCCCTCGGCACCTCATCTGTGCTCCCATCACTCTATGTATTAACTTACTCAGTTTAAGATCTGTGTGGCCAGACTTTCTTAATCTGTTTTCTGTAGGTAAGGATCAAAATTTTAGATGTACAATTCTATGAATAACACCTGGGTGCCTTCTCCGTAATTTGGATCTTACCAAAAATATCATAGATAGAAAAAGACAGTAACACAGAAAGGGGTCTAGCTGGAAGACTCACCAGTTCTTTTTAATTCATTTCACTTCATTTCATTTCACTTAATTCATTCCCCCTGACCTGGAATTGCCGGGAGCCGGTCCATCCTTGCTGTTTCAAGGGACCTGGCATATATGGCATACTGTTCTTAATATGTTTGCTCACCTTCTTGGCACTATGTGTTTTAACCAAGGTCACCTCTCTGAGAAAGGTTGTTTCCCCAGGTAGGGATTTTCCCCTGAAGTTAGGGAGGGAATAAAACCCCTTAACTAAGTGCCAGGCGGGTAATTAATCACTTTAACTACGAACAATCATGTTTAAGCTACATAATCTTTACTCCCTGGAATGGAGATAAGAAACGCCCTAACCTTTGGAATAGAGATTGATAGGATTGGAATCAACTGGTATAAATACAGATGTAACAAGACAACAGGACACAGAACCTACACACAGAACCTACACACAGAACCTAGATACAGAACCTAGAGACAGAACCTACACACAGAACCTACACAGAAGCTAGAGACAGAAGAACTTCGCTGGAGAGAACATGGCAAAAGATCCTGGACAGAAACTGGCCATAGAACCTAGAGACAGAACCTAGCAAGAGAACATGGCAAAAGATCCTGGACAGAAACTGGCCACAGAACCTAGAGACAGAACCTAGGGAGAGAACATGGCAAAAGATCCTGGACAGGACCTGGCTACAGAACTTGGTTGGAGAACCTAGCCAGAACTTGGCTGAAGAACCCGGCTACAGAACCTGGCAACCGAACCTGGCTGGAGAACCTAGCGAGAGAACATGGCTACAGAACCTGGCTGGAGATCCTAGACAGAACTTGGCTGGAGACGCTGACAAGAGAACCCGGCTATGATGATCACCTGAACACTGCCTCTGTGTCATTCCTTCTTTGCCGACTCCGTCCACACCTTTGGTGACCCCTGGACCTGCTGGGGTTGGACCCCAGCATGGAATTTCTTACATTTAAGATAAATGGCTGAGGGCAGGGCTCCAGTGGTTCTTGAGCTTGAGGGCAGCATACTTAAAAGTCATTGTAAAATACTGATGTACTAAGTTGATGATAGAAATGTTCTCCGCTAAATCTGATACTACCTTGTACTAGATTCTGACATGAGTGAGCAGTTGCAAATTCCAAAGATCTAAAAAAAAGTACAAGAGAAAAACTCAAACTCATTTTGAGAGAATTCTACACACTGGTAAGCTTTGTCCTACAAATTGAGAATTTACCACTATTAATTTGTCAATGGAACCCATGTTCCCCAGGAGCCGCAGCTTGAGAGCCAGTGTGCCAGCATACAATGCCTCCTGTATAAAGGAGACGCCTGCAGTAGTCCCATGCTATTCCTGCCAGGACTTTCGCAATCTCCTGGACCAACAAGAACAATCTGTTTAATAATTTAAAAAAGCCAAATAGGCCTCCAGAATGTTCACCACAATGTAAAGCACTACTTTAGAAGCTGGTCCAAAGAGTGAACACACCCTTCGCACAGCTACCTCCCAGGTTCCCTCATATGTGATGAGAATGCTGCGATTGATGGAGTCTGTCACTAGGCACCCCACAGGTTGTAAAAAGGAAGGAGGCAGTAGAACACCAGCATCCTCAGGTGATCCAGCATCCTAGACTGGGAGGCAGGAGCAAGAAAAGGCAGAAGAGAAAAGTACCGCCAGAAATGCATCTTCAAGCAATCTCCCAATATACAAGCCCCAGGGCATAGATACGAGCACATTTACTAGTAAAGGAGTCAAAGTGCTTCATGTTAATGGTTTCATCAAGCACTTCAGGGGCCAGGTATCTGCAACAGCAAAGGAAACAGGATCATGCGTAGGAAAAGATGACTTCTCTCCTTAAATCAAAGCATTGACTCCGGAGCCCTTAGAATGTAGGTACCACCCCAAAAAATCCACTTGGGGACGAGGAACTGATCAATGCTTTCATTGCAAACTCCCATGTTTTTGATTTGAATCTAGCTTTAGGAAGTAGCATAGGCTACTCTTATTTGTACCTCTACTTTTTAACCACCACAATTGATTTTTAGTTTGTTTTGATTTCTTGGCAGAGGTATTTGTACTGTGGGTCACAGGGCACTAACAATATGTGATATCTAGTTGCTACTGGGGTCTAGGACTTCATTAAATGTAGCCCTAGTGATGGGCTGAGCTTAAATTTCATTCTGCAGATAATGTGAAAATTATTCTAGTCATCAAAGTCCCTCTCAGCTAATTAGTATGACTTGATACAAATCAGGGGATCACCTCAGGCCTTACAATTTGGAGCCTGGGTTCTTTATTCGTCAAATGGGAGGGGAAAAGGAGAACAATTTAGTGAAATTCACTGAGATTCAACCGATAAACAGACCTTCTCTTCCTTCCTTCTGCACAACAAGGAAGGACACACATGGACCACTCAGTACAGGTAGAGGGCAAAGGCAGAGGCCCAGGGCCTTCCTACTGTTTGGTTCCCACTCTCTGATTTGGGGCAATGTCAATGGTGTCAGTGACTGCATCATGACGGACGGCCAGGCCCAGGTCTGCAATGGCGCACATGCCGTTTTTCTTCACTAGGATGTTCTTTGACTTTAAGTCTCGATGAGCAATTCCAGGCTTCCCTGGCAGGGAAAAAACAGGGACCTTTAAAGAATGGTAGTAAAAATGTTACAAGCAAGAGTCTACAGCCTAACTGAATGTTAGGAAGATCGTGTGAGTTCAAGTTCCACCAACCCAGTAACCCTGGAAAAGCGACGTAACCCAACTGTAAAGACTAAACCAGTACTGACTTCACGGAAATGTGAGGAATTAATGAATTAATGTAGGTAAGTGATGAGCTCAGAAGGGCATGTGTATTAGTTAATATTACTATGACTATTACTACTATTCACCTTCCCTGAACTAATACACTCCAGTATTGACATGCTGAAGAATTCAAAGAAAAACTGCTGTGTTGGCTAGGTTCTTAGAATCAAACAAAATCACCAAGCAATTAATAAGGACTGCTGATACCCGGCGGAGGCTAGGAACAGGACCAAACTTTTAATGGCTGGTTTTCTGTCATGGCCAGCAAGTGCATCAGGGAACATACCTTGCCACCGTGACAAGATCCAATTTCCTAAAGAGCTCACATTACAGTCAACAAGCAGGGATGGTCAAGGTCTTTTGCCTCCAGAAAAACCTTCCTAGACTAGGGAAGCCCAGGGTCTAATCCACCAAGCAGTCTTTTAGCCAGCTGCCCCCAACAATGAACGTATGAAATTACTTAACTGATGCTCCTGTCACAAGAGTCTTAGTTTCTCTGCACTGGGGAGCTGGCCTTAGGACCCAGGTCTGGAGGACGGGCAATCCCAGCCCAACTGTGGGAAGACAGGGGACAGAGGGGCCAATCTCCTCCTCCAAAGTACAGAATGTTTCAGGGACCAGCAGTACCTAGCTCAACCTGGACCGCTTGACATTGCCATACATTTGACGCTTCCTGGGACTAATAATAATAATAATAATAATAATAATAATAATAATAAATCTTAGCCCTCAAATGTATCCTTAAGTCTCATCATACTTAGGAGAGAGATTGGAAGTTCTTTTTATTTTGCTTTTTTTTTGGGGGGGGGGGAGTGAGAATGACAGAGCTGAGGGTTCCTGCCGCTTTAGGGCCCTTGAGAAATTAGAGCAGTCAGTCTCTCTCTCTCTCTCTCTCTCTCTCTCTCTCTCTCTCTCTCTCTCTCTCTCCCTAAATTATTGATCCTTGGGAGAAGCCCTGTCCCAGACCGGCCATTGTCCCATGAGCCCAAAGAGCCTACAGTTTTCCTGGTTGGTGCCCTGGTTAACTCTCCTCACAGGCCTCCCCCAGGCTAGGAAGATAAGGGGACCCTCTTCCTCCAGAACCAAAGATTGGCCTCAGGGGTGGGGACACTTCCAAATGGGCCAGGGAGGAAGCACTGGGCAGCATAGGAGGGAGACCCGTTTGTCTTTCCACCCTATTTTCATAAAATGCAAATTCTCAACAAGCTGTTCATTGTGTGGGGGGAGCCAAGGGCGGGAGGAGGGGGGGGCGGGAGGGGGAGAGGAGCCCCTCTCCCCCTCTTTCTGGGAACTCTTCCTCCTCAGGCCAGAGGAAGAACCCGCGGAGGAGGGGAGACTCAGGGGGCAGGCGAGGCCCGCATCCTTCCAGCCCCGCGGGCACCCTGGGACCCCTCCCACCGCGGTCCGGTCCAGCCAGGTCTGGGGAGCCACCGTGACCTCGCACCCCGCACCTCAGACGCATGGCAAGGGGCAGCCCCAGTTTAGACGTCCAGGGTTCCCTCCGAGGGGTGAGAGCTCACGGGCTCGGCACGCCCGCCCCTTCTTCTCCACCCGGGACCCTCCAGGGGTCAGGGCGAGCGGCGGGACCCCAGCCTGGTCCCCGCTCCAACCGCAGGAGCCGGGCGAGGGCTCCTAGGGGTCTCGAGACACCTGGGCTCCGGGAGGCAGGGCGCAGAGGGTGCCGGCCAGATGGATGAGGAGGAAAAGGGGGTGCTTGGGGGTCAGGAGGGAGAGGAGCGAGACCGGGCGGCTGCGAGGCAGAGCGGAATGGAGGGCCCCAAGATCGGGCGGCGTGGAGGTGTGGGCTGCGGGGGCCAGGGGCTGGCACCTTCGGAGAGACTCGCAGGTTCTGGACCTGGCATGGGGGTTGCTGGCTGGGGGACATAGTGGAGGACTGGGGGGACCCTGAGCAGAATGTTGGGGTTCAGCGGCGGGTGTTGGGGTTCAGCGGCGGGTGTTGGGGTTCAGCGGCGGGTGTTGGGTGTCAGCAGGGGGTGCAGGGGTCAGCAGGCACAGGTGGGGATGCTGCGGGCTTGAGGTCAGGAGGAAGGGACCCTGGGGTGGGGTAGGGGCACCGGAGCGGGGTCCTCGGAGCTGGCGGAGGGAGGACGCACCTTCGGGCGGGGCAGGGTGCCCCCTAAACAGGGCGAGCGCGTGGCACAGCTCGGCGGGGCGGTAGCCCTCCAGCGCCGCGTGCAGCTCGTCCCCCGGGGGCCCAGCGCCGGCGCCGGAGGCCGGGGTTCGGGCCGGGGCGACTTCGGAGGCTGGAGCCCGGGCGGTGGCCGCCTCCTCCTTCTGCTGCAGCTTCCAGTCGGCGGAGGGTCCGCGCTCCGCGCCGCGGCGGATGCGGCCTGTGGGTGCCAGCCCGGCGGGCCAGGCGGGCCAGGCGGGCGGCCGTCGCCTCCCTTTATAGGACCCGCTGGGCGGACCCCGGGCTCGGGGGCGGGGACGGCCTCCCGGCGGCCTTGTCCCAGCGCCGCAGGCCCCGCCCCTGGGCGGGGTGCTGCCCGGAGCCCCGCCCACGGCGTCCGAAGCCCGGCTGGGCTGGGGCGAGTCAGGGACCTGAGCGCTCAGTGGGGGAAACCTAGCCGCCCCGGAGTGGGGTGGGAAGCAGGGCATCCCGGGCAGGTCCCAACGGTTCTGTGAAGGGGCTCGTGGGAGAGATTTGAAAATTTGCGGATGGCCCGCTGGCGTGGCTCAGAGGCTGAGTGTGGACCTATGAACCAGGAGGTCACACACGGTTTGATGCCCGGGTTGTGGGTTCAGTCCCCAGTGCGGGGAAGGGGTGGTGGTGTGTGTGTGCAGAAGGCACTGTTTAGCGTCCTGGAAGGGCTGCTAGAGATAGTGGTCTGACTTGCTACAAGTCTGACTTGCAGAGAGCGGGCCTGGCTTCCTGAGTTGGTTGCTGCAACTGCTACTGTTATATCTGGTCTGGCCATTGCCCATTTGTATATTTAGTCTCTTCCCTTCATTGTATTGCCCCGGGCATCCTCCCAAAAGGGTAACAGATTGGGGACCACCAATATCAAGGTGAAGGGTAGAATAGGGTGGAGGAGCCAGCCCTGTATTCCCAAACCCAAAGGTCCTACTGAAGACGGATGGCTCTCCCATCTAATCATCTATGCATGGCCCATGAATGTCTTAAAATACTACCCCCCGCCCCCCGCCCCCTGGTGCCCTCCACTTACATGCTCAGCTTCATATTCACCCTTCTTTAGTCCCCACCTTCTCCTTCTAAACTCCATCTCAAAACATGAGGTCTTGGTGGACATTTGCAAGAAAGCAAAGAGGTTAAGATGTGAGTGTGCCTGCAGAGCCTTCCTGGGTGAGGTGAGAAGGGAGGGGTATCCTGGGGCAGGTAATGCTTGTCCTGTGCAGTGGGAAGGCCTCGTTAACTATGTTGGCTTGCTGAGTGAGAGGAGAGCCACAGCCAGGGGCAGGCAGCAAAGTGAGGCGTGAACACGGGATTTGATGCCTCCTCAGGGCCCCGCAGGTCATAGGAATCATACCATTCACCTGGCCTCCCAGTTTGGAGATGGAATTGAAGATGGCATCAAAGCATGTGGACCATCAGCAGCCCTCTCGGGTTACTTACAAAATTCTGTTCCTGTAGATGAAACCCCATGGAATCAAAGCCCACAGATAAAAAAGTCAGTGGCAGATAATCCGGGAGAGAAGCCACAGAGAGCTGGGTCTGAGCTGCCTTTGTTGGGTCTAAGAGAGGTTTCCATGTCTTCCCACTTGTTCTTGACATGAAATTCATGTCCCTGGTGCTGTACAAAGTGTGGGGAGTATAATTGAAAGCAAAATCCACGCCTAACCCCCCAAATCTCTCCACAAAGATGGAAAAGTAAGAAACCAGTTATGTTACTGAACAAGCATTAAATAGAGTGAGAGGAGGATCACAGGCAACCTGCTGAAGGGACTGCAAAGACAAAACAATCTTGCTCTGATGCTGCTACACAAATAAATCGATTACATTAGGTAGGTTTCCTCAAGGTGGAGGCAGGTAACAATTTAGGCCATCGGCTCCCAGGAAACTGGGAGATAAGAGTGTTATCTTCCTCAATGATTACATTGCAACGAGGTGGCTCCCAGGTCCTTGAGGAAACGGTCCTGAGTTGTAAGACTGGCAAGTGACTTATACGGCCATGAAAAAGATTTAAGTACATTTGGAAAGGACAAAGAAGGAAATTCTGAAAGAAAAGGGAGAAGTGGGGGAAGCTCTTTTCCTCTTCCTCTCACCTGGGAGAATTAAGCCTCTTACTTTAAAACTAGAAAACTAGAGGCCTGGTGCACAAATTTGTGCACCAGTGGGGTCCCTCAGCCTAGCCTGTGGGGTCCTGATGAAACCAGCTCTCCGACATCCCCCGAGGTGTCCCGGATTGTGAGAGGCTATAGGCCAGGCTGAGGGACCCCACCAGTGCATGATCAGGGACGGGGAAGGATGCAGGAGGTTGGCCAGCCGGGGAGGGACAGTGGGAGGGTTCCAGGGTGTGTTCGGCCCATCTTGCTCAGTGCCTACACAGCAGGACCCCCAGCAGCAAGCTAACCTACCAGTTGGAGCGTCTGCCCCCTGGTGGTCAGTGCCCGTCATAGCGAGCAGTTGAGCATCCTTAGCATATCATTAGCGTATTATGCTTTGATTGGTTGAACAGCCGACCAGTCGACTGGACACTTAGCATATTAGGCTTTCATTATATAGGATTTATAGTTGTCCTTAGAACAGCCCATCTGATTCAGGACTCAAGGACTTGGGTGGGTTTAGAGGGACTCCAGGGACCTGCAGCCACCAACCCCCAAACTGTGGGCAGTTTCCCTCCCAGATGAGGTTCTGTCTTCCCTCTGCCCCTGCAGCCCACAGCGAGGGAAGAGGGCTCCATATTCCTGGCTAGCCAAGTCCTCTCAGGCAAAGGTGGGGGGGTTTATAAGGGCTTATGTTCCCCTTTGCTTCTCCCCACTCAGCCTTTTATTTATTTATTTAAATATATTTTTATTGATTTCAGAGAGGAAGGGAGAGGGAGAGAGAGAGACAGAAACATCAATGATGAGAGGGAATCATTGATTGGCTGCCTCCTGCACTCCACCTACTGGGGATTGAGCCCGCAACCTGGGCACGTACCCTTGGCTGGAATTGAACCAGGACCCTTCAGTCCATAGGCCGACGCTCTATCCACTGAGCCAAACAGCTAAGGCTTCCCACTCAGTCTTAACCCTGACCAGCCCCCACTCATTCGATGCTCACGTTTTTCTCTCCACCCTGACTCACAAGATAAGGTTTCTATAATGGAAAAAGAGCAAAAATAAGCCTCAGGTGGTGAGTCAGAGTCATTCAACAAAAGTAACGCAAGAAGCCCTGCTCCCAAGGCTGACGCTGGGCTGCAGCAAGAAGCAGAAGAGAGCAGGGACCTGCACACACTTCTCCCCATTTCTCTGCAAGGAGTCTTTTCCAACCTCGTCCTCTCCATTGCTTCCTGGTGGAGCGGGCAGGTTCCTAGTTGCCTTGCCTTGAGAGAGAAGTGTTCATGTTGGGGCAGATGGTGGTGTCACCACAAAAAAGGGGCCAAGTTCCAGGTCTACGTCAGTGAGGGGGAGAGAAAAGAGAGATGGTGTAGGTGATGGGAGTGAAATCTGACTTTCTTCTGGCCCCAGAGCTCAGAACCTCAATGAAGGGTGACTGTTGGGGACTGTCCTGGTTTCAGCACTGGAAGCCCATATCCCAGAAAGTCCCTTCGTCCCTGACAATCCGAATAATAGGTCACCCTCGAGGTGGTACTTGCATGAAGAAGTTCAGGGTTTTCAGTCATCTTGGGAACATCATGGATAGAGGAATGAACCAGTTAAAAGATCTCTGAGGACAGGGTGACCTCTTGTTTGATACGTGTGTGCTTGAATGTGTGGGTTCATAAAAGCACTTGGTTGATGAGGGAGGCAGAAGAGAGCATGGCATGGCTTTTGCTGTTTTCTCTGATGTTTATTATCTCTCATTAATGCTTGAATTTCTTAGGCTATTGGCTGCTTCAGTTCATCTTGAAAGAACATCTCCAGAGTGCTTACATGTGAAATTCAGCATAAGTGAAGCGCATAACTCTATAAGAACTCATGAAAAACAACAACACCCCCCCCTCATTTTATTTAGAAATAGACTTCCAGAAAAGCTGCAAGAAATAGAATAGCACAAAGTTCACCAATATACTCTTTATCTAGGTTACCTACTATGAAAATGTTACCCCATTTGTTTATGTTTTATTTTAAAATTTATTATTGTTAATTTTTAATTATAGTTGACATTCAATATTATATTAGTTTCAGGTGTACAGCATAGTTAGATATTTATATAACTTAAAAGGTGATCCCCTGATAAGTCTAGTACCCATCTGGCACCATACATAGCTATGACAGTAGTATTGACTATATTCCCTGTTCTGTACTTGACATCCCCATGATTATTTTGTAATTACCAATTTGTACTTCTTAATCCTTCACCTTTTTCACCCAGCCCCCTAACCCCTTCCCATATGGCAACCTCATTTGCTTTATAATTTGTTTTCTCTTTCTCTTTTTCACACACACACACACACACACACACACACACACACACACACACACACAATTTTTTCCCTGAACTCTTCAGCACTAGTTTGCAGACATCATGACCCTTTATTCTGAAACAGTTCAATGCTAAGAATAGGAATATTCTCTTACATGTCAACTTCAGTAATTTAACATCAATACAATATTTTATCTAATCTACCATATTCCAATTTTGTCAATTGACTCGATAATGTTATTTATAGCATTTCTTTTTCTTCCTCTAGTATAGGAACACATGTAGGTTCAATTATTTCATTTAGTTGTCACATCTCTTTAGTCTCCTTTCATCTGGAATATTTTGCAGCCTTTCTTTGTCATTTGTGACACTTTTGAAGGTACAATCCTGTTTTTGTGTTTAATAGAAAGTTCCTCATTTCAGGGGTTTTCTGATGTTTCTTCATGGTTAGATTACACATCCCAGCTTGAATACTAAGTGATACTGTGTCTCTCTCCGGGGATCACATCTGGAGACACCTGATATCTATCTGCCCCTCATGGATCATGTGAGTTGACTATCTAGTCAAGAGGTTGTCTGATCTCTCATATGCACACATTCTTATATATATGTATATATTTAATTAATTTAAGAGAGATAGGGAGAGGGAGAGAATCATTGATTGGCTGCCTCCTGCATGTGTCCTACTGGGGGGTTGAGCTCAAAACCTGGGCATGTGCCCTGACTGAGAATCGAACTGTGACCTTCTGACCCGATTAAGTCCGGTTTGGTGATTTTGTAGGAGGAATCAACAGGACTCAGTATATAGATGTACTTATGGCTAAGAGTTGTTACAGGGAAAGGATACAGAGCAAAACCGGCCAGGGGCAAAGTCCAGAGGAAACCAGGCGCAGGCTTCCGCAGTCCTCTCCTAGTGGAATCACCGGACACGTGTAACTCCTCCAATGCGATGTGACAGCATATGGTAAGTGTTTCCTAGTGAAGCTCATTAGAGACTCAGTGCCAACGTTTTTATTGGGGTTGATCATATGTAGGGACCCTCTCCCCAGCATGTACTAAAATTCTAGGC